GGACGGTCGCATTTGCGCGAGGCGAGGCGAGCATTCAGACGCGTTGCATGCGCCATGACTCGCGCCAGCGCGTGCGGGAGCTCCTGGCTGAGCGTTGAGTCCAGGCGAGTTGCGCTGGCCACGATCGTTACGCCAAGCCGAGCTGACGCGCCGAGGCGCCGACCAGTCGCAGCCGTGAGGCATGCCACAGCAGCAGAGGCACCTCCCACCCATTGGGCGGGCAGACAGAAGGCCAGGGCAGCACTGGTAAGTGCAACGCGCCTCATGTCGGAGAGCGACCGTGCCTCGTTCGCCGCTTATGATGTAGAGTTTGTTGTAGAGATTTCACGTTGTAGAGCGCCTCTACATCGCTCTACAACGCACCCGCCTCGTCACGCGGTGGATGTAGAGCTCTACAGCTCTACAGCACTCTCCAGCTCTACAGCTCTACAGCGCTCTACACTCTACATCCTCTACACCCTCCCTCAGCCCTCACACGAAGGTGGGGAGCCCCGGGTGGGTCTCTTTAGGTTTATTTAGCTGTACTCGTCTAGGCAGGGTTTGCTTGCTCGTTCGTCGTTGCTGGAAATTAAGACAACAACAAACGCTAACCTCTTTCTGGCCGCGTCCCTCCCCTGTACCGAGTACACCAACTGAAGAAATAACGCAAGGCCCTCAGCGGAGCTAGGAATAGGACCGCCGCAAGCGGCGTGGCGTGGAGCGGTTGAGCATCCCTCCGGGGGCCCCTCTGCGCCGGGGAGGCGTTGTTGGAGGCTAGGACGCAAGCGTCCGTCGCCCTTTTCAAACTCGGGGCCCACTCCGCTATACGCTCCGACCCGAATTTGGAGGGCCTAAAAGTTTAAGGTGTTGCTGCGCAAAAGGGGTCGGACACAGGGCGCAGCTCATGCCAAGAGCTAGAAGGGGAGCTAGAGAGAACGACTACCCTGTCCCGTTGTTGCGTACACCAACACCACAAAAGCTCTCTCTCTCCTGTCCTCACTCAGAGGGGGGTCACAACTACCGAGTCCCTCGACTAGCTGCCACGTTGCCGACCGAGAGCGGATCTCCTCCTGCGCTCCGCAAGGAGGGTGGCCAAGGCTAAAGTCTTGCCGGAGCCGCCGGGCGCGTTGACGACTTGGAGAAGGTCGCCCTTGTACTTGTACTTGTAAGAGATGCTCGAGGGGGTGCTTTGTGGGGCGGTGCGCAGCCAGGCCAGCAGTGAGGGGAGGCGCACCCTCACTCTCCTCGGTTGCAGAGCTCGTCGGAGGCTGCGGCACGACGGGAGGGTCGCGATAGCAGTCCTCGGGCGAGCCGTGTCCAACCAGCGCTGGGACTCGTTGTGACGGCAGACGCCGGCTGCCTCTCCAACCGCTTCTGCAGCGTCCTTCTTTGCCCGGTGCATGGGCTCGATCCGATTCCGCAGCGTGTCGTCCCCAGCGGCGGTGCTGCGCGGGAGGCGGCCGCGGGCACGCTGGGCTCGATCAGCGGCTTTCCCTCTGTTGCTCCGAAAGCATCTCGGCTACGGGACCGGCCCCAGCTTCGGCTGAGGGCTGACAAGCTGCCGAGCCCAAATCACTGTGAGAGTCGTGATTTCTTGTTGGTTAAAAATCTCTCTCTCGGATTTGGCGGACGTTCTTGGCTTCAATTTTACGGATGTCTTGGCACCAGCTGAAGGCTTGCCCCCGTCCACGGCTCAGATCACGCAGTTCGTGCACGGTTGTGTGGGGGTATATTGCAGATTTGTCAATGGTACCGCGTCTGCCAAAAACAAACCCCTTAATCAAGGGAAAAGAAACAAACCGACAACACAAGGGAGGGATGGGAGGACGGCACGCCGCCACCACACAAACGAAACCTAAAGAAAGAACGAAAGCACCTAACCCAAGAGCAATTGGAGCACTTGGAGTGCAGTCGGTAGCCTCACATCCAGGGCCGGGGATTTGGCTCACACCGCGCACCTTCGCCGGCGTGTTTGAGTTTGTAGCCTTGTGGCTGCAGCGGTGACACATGGACTCGTCCCTCGCCCCGCCCGCCGCTCCGCGAGGGTGATGGGCTCTCCGTCCACGTCCACGCCCTCCGTCATGCGAGTGCGTGGGGCTGCGCTCCGCTCTCTCTCCGCACTGAGTGTGTTCGCTTTCCCCCCCACTCGCGTCCGTCGGGGGTACTCCCTACCCTCTGGCTCTCTGACCCCCCCCCCCCCCTCCTTCCCTCTCCGGGATGAGGTGCGCACTGCTGTCCCTAGAGGGGTGTCGGGTGGTGAGGGCATTGATTCGATCCTCGTGTTATTCGCGGACGCGGTCACCCACGGACGATCGCTGGAGTGGGCCGAAGGACAGAGGCTTGCTTGTGTGGGGGCGCGCGGGCGCCCACTCAGGCTCTCGGCCTCCGTTGTCTCAGCCTTCAGTTCACCTCTCCTAGCGCCGAGTGGTGACCTTCATTTGGTGTGGTGACCTTCATTTCGGGGTCGAAGATGCTACACACACTTGCCCCCTGGTGTTCTGGCATTCGGCGTTCTCCATAAGAGTTTTACGAAATTCTTTTTCGGTCTTTTTTGGGGAGAGCAAAAAGAATTTAAACAAAACAACTCTCTCACACAGCAGACAGGCTCGACACGAGCAAAAAGAAATAGCTGAGGCGACAGTGAGCACCAGAACTGCGCTCCTGTGTTTGTGAGATATGCTCGCTCTCATGCTCGCCGCCGCGGCGTACGAGCGCACGCCGCGGGCTGTCGTCATCAACCTGCCGCGGCATTCAAAGCGGCTCGACGCCGTGCGGGCGCAGCTGAGGGCGCAGGGCGTCTCTTGGGAGAAGATGCCGGCAGTCGACGGCAGAGCGCTGTCGAAGGAGGAGCTGAAGGCGAACGTGACGGTCCTGGGCAGGCATCTGCTAACACCGGGCATGATTGGCTGCTTCCTCTCCCACCGCGGCTGTTGGCGCCGCTGCGTCCAGTCTGGAAAGCCGCTGATTGTGTTTGAGGACGACGCCGTGCTCATGCCGTCCTTCCGCCGACGGCTCGCCGCGGCGCTGGCCGAGCTGCGCGAGGACGACGAGTGGGACGTCCTCTTGCTCGGCGCGTTTGGCTGCGTCCACCCGAGCGGCAGGTACGGCCCTCGTGACGTCTTTCGGCTGTTCGGCTTGGTGGGCGGATGGCTCTTCTGAGAGGCGCCGTTCTCGCAAACACACACTCAGCCCGTGTTCTCGACAATAGGTGGGCGGAGGGACGAGGAGGGCGGAGGTGCTGCCGGGCTCGGCGGGGCTGCACGTGCCGTGGCGCGCCTACGGCACGCACGCGTACCTCGTCTCGCCGCGCGGCGCCCGCAACGAGCTGCGGAGGAGGCCCTTCGTGCGTCAGCTCCCAAGTACGCCTCTTCACTCTTTAGGCGCCCGCAAGCTGCTCGAGAAGCTTCCGCGCGCCTGCTTCCACGTCGACAACGTCGCGTGGGGGCTACGGCCGTTGCGGCTGCTCTGCGTCCACCCGCTGCTCGCAAAGCAGACGCACAGCGACACGACCGTCGGCGGCCTGTCTGGAGAGGAGTGGATCCCGGCCTGGTTCAAGCAGGTGGACGACTACACGGGCGTCTCCTTCTCGTGGGC